ATTGCTGGGATTTCTTAGCTTCTACCTTATTAAACCAGTTGTGATAGGTTGTGTCAGAGGTGGGGCAAGATCGAAACGGTTTGAAGTTACTCTTTACATAATATAGCATGAAAGGGTCCTTAGGGGGAACGATTGGATTTTCTATGGTGGTTGAATCAGAAGACTCTATAGTCTTGGGGCTATCCATTTTATTAAACAGAGGTTTGAAATTATAGCAAACTGGAAAAAAAGTTTCTGGTGTCTTTTAAAATTTCAAAGACTGTAAGAGGGCCCATTAAAGCTAACCTCTTGCCAACAGCGTTAGTAGGAATTAGTACCTGGGATGCATAAAGCATTTCTTTCTCTTTTGAGATCATCTGGGGAACAAGAACAGATTGACCTTGGTAGGTGCCAACCTTGCTTTCCATTGTGGTTCCTGTGGTCTTTCCTTTCTTTTTGGAAACCTTTTTTAGTTGAGATGAAGTTGAAGAAGACATTGTTGGAAGAATGTTGGAAGTTTAGGGTTTCAGTGAGAAAAGAGGAAGAAAAGATTCAGAATGTGGGAAGAAAAGAAAAGACTAAGTTGATGGGTTTTTATAATGTGGAAGTTTAACCACCCACTGAGTAAGATTGTGATACGTGGTAGTCGTGGGTTGGTTTGATGAAGAGGTGGCGTAAAGTTAATATTGGTAATAGGCGTGATTAAAGATAATCATTGTTTTGTAACTGCACCATGTTGTGAAATGGTTCAAGGCGGTTAAGGAATTTGAAAAGCGTTGTGATTGACGTGCCTGGAGTCATATGCAATAAATGGTACGATGATTCGAAGGTCGCATCAAAATCTTGTGTATATGTTTAAAATAAGTATTTCTCAAAGGAATCGAAATACATATTTTAAAGGGGCATTTTGTTGGCTGAAGATTTTGATGATATTATTAGAAGCAAATTGGATGTTTCGATTGGAATAAAGCAAGATGTCATGTTTCGAAATGATAGAATCAGTGCTTCGAATGGGCATATCAAAACTTGGAGCTTCGAGTGACAGTTATGAGAATATATTCAAAGAAGTCTCGAAATGCTAACAATGTTGTGTCCAAGAAATGTGTTCGAAGCGAAGGAGTGCCAAAGCATTTGAAATTCAAATGCAAGCGGGATGTTCGAAGCAAAGGAGTGCCAAAGCATTTGAAATTCAAATGCAAGCGGGATGTTCGAAATTTGAAATATATGCGCTGGAGCATTCGAAGACGCGTGGAAGCAAGAGAGAGGCATTGCTCTGCATGTTCTGAACGTGGAAGAATCTTATAGCAAGACCGTTATGGTCGAAGTAGTATAAATAGAAGTCTTAGCATTAGGATTTCGTGTGTCATATCTATTGTACAAAAACTCGGTAAACATTCAAAATACCACATGGCTAGGGAAACGAATGCACGAGCAATGTACGTATGATAACACCACATGTTTATGATTTAATGAAAACTCTTTATCATTTCCAGTACTTTCCTTTATCTTCATGTCAATACCATTCACAAGCTTTTGCATTTAAAATGTTTTCGTTCGAAGTCTTTTTACTGATGCCTTACATTTAAATGTTTTCTTTCCATTGCAAATACTTTACATTTCAGAAACTGTCGTACATTTCATGTCTTTATCTTCAAGTTTTTATTATTCGAACACCTTTTTCACTTAAAGTCATTTTACTGTTTTTCTTGCATTTAAACGCTTTCTTCATATTTCAAATCTTTTACATTCCAGAGAATCTTTTACATTACATGTTTTTATGCTTCGAAGTCGTTTACTTGTCTTTTATGCAGTTTTTACATGTCTTTACAATTTAACTTTATTCATGCAATTTAGTTTTGCGCACATTTACTTGAGCACACCTTTAGATCTTTAATAGAGCAATCGAAGTAAGTTAAACACCTACACAACATTCTAAATACCAACCATGAATACCAGTTCGATCATGAGAGTTACCCTAATGACCAACACATCCTAGGATCAATCTAGTCGATCCTGCGAGTTACTAGAGAAATTGAATAACAGTCAGTAAGATTATTCGATAGTTTGGAGGACTAGCGGTTGTTTACCAGAAATCACTGTAAACACTTGCCCAGAAGAATTGAAGCACTCTCAATCCAAGATAAGAATTACAAAAGCTTCCTGGGAGTGCAGTGAAGTTATCTAGATCATCCTAACATATCCAGAAGTGCTCTAACTCCAAACTCGATTCTCACTTCAGAAGTAAGTTTTCTAAACTTTGAAATCTCTGTACAAGCATCATTTGCATTTATTTTCCAAAGCAAAAATGTAGATATCAATGCTCTGAAACTAACCATGTCCTTAGTTTTCATTTATGTTGATCGTGTGATGAGAATTTTGGATTTGAAGTTTCTGAGAAATTATGGTTCAGTTTGGTACCAACATAAATTCACTTTAATCTTTGAGTTTTAGCTTAAGTTAATGGTATGATTGAATTCATGGTGAAATTTGGAACAACTTTTATGTTTACGTTTTTCAATTTGGTTGAGAAATGAAGCTGTTAAAAAGTTCAAAAATGTTGTTGTTATTGTTGGCGCGAGGAAGAAAAAGAAGTGGGCTTTTCAAATATTTGAAAACGAGTTTATAATATATTTATTGGTGGTTGTTTCATAACCGGATGAAACAGACACTCCAGTGGCAAGCGTGTGTGTGTGTGTGTGTGAGGTGTTAGTGTGCCAGGGCAGGGGTTTGATCCCTGCCTCTGGCATTTTATTTTTTCAATATTTCGCTTGTGGATCAGGTACATGCAAGCCTATCGCGCCTATCATGAGCCTCATATCAACACCATCAAATCATCATACAATTAGATCCAATGCACCTAAATGCAAGCCTATGGTAGATCCTAAATGACCACCCCTACTAGATCATACATGCATTTGGGCCTCCCTCTTTGAGCCCAATAATTTATGTTTCTCACACCCCAAACTTTTCTTCAAACAGGCCCACTATTTTACTTGTTTTATTTTATTTTTCAGCTTCAAACAAAAACTTGTTCTTGGGCCTAGAATTTTCACCCCCTATTCTGCTTGTTTACACTTAGGCCCATTAAAATTATTTCTCTTTTTTTTAATTAACTACTTTCTTTTCTTTTAAAAAAATTTATTTTTAATCAACAAAAATCATAAAATGATGAAAAAATTAGGTTTAGTTTTTTTTGACAAGTAAAATTTTATTTTAATCACTTTTATTTTATTTTATTAAGACTAGGTTTTTATACTTCAATTATTTTTCTAAACAAATACAAAAATATTTTCTAGATACTTAGATTTGTTTAGGTTTTAATTGATTAATTAATTTTTTATAGTTAAAAATTAATTAATTTAATCATACTTTATTTTTAATAATTAGATTGTAAATTAATTAGAAATTAAGTCTAATTTTTTTATTTCACATTTCAAATATTTTCTAAACAAAGAAACAACCAAATATTTTCTTAAAATGTTTAGAAATATTTTTAGGGTTTTTTAAAATATTTTTCCCCTTTTCACTACCTTCGCGCACTTTACCTTCGTATTAATATGTTCCAATATTATAAATGCTCAAAATTTGTAATAGCTTTAATTAGGACTCATTTACATTTCATCCCCATTCAAAAATTTATACCCCCATTCCCAAAGTCTTGTAATAGCGTAGAATATTTAATTTTCGCAATTTACTGCTTTCCTTATTATTGTTAGTAATTAGGGTTTGTATGGCAAGACATTAAAATCAATCATTAGAAAACCTAATCACAAGACAAATACTTGAAATCAAAACACTTTGCACACATGCACCTCTGGGGTCACCCTCACTTGTTGCTTCAGATTTAAACAGTCATGTCCCTCGAAAATGGGATGCTTTAGCAAAGACCCTCAGTTAAAAGATCTTAGTCCCTCGATGACCCTTCAATGTTTCCTTCGGTAAACGATCTTAGTCCCTTACGACAATTGCTAAAACGTCATATAAGTTGTCTTCTATGAGTGTACGATGACCCATGCATGTTCCTTACATCCAATGATAGGGATTCCTACTAACTAATGGTAGGGTAGAATTGTCTAAATGAGGAGGAAAAGAACAAATACTTTTTGAGTAGGTAGATCGCTCGTAATTGCTTGCTCACAAACTAAAACAATTTCCACACTTCGCACTTTCAAAACAACTACTTTCAAAACACTTTATAAACACTCTTGAGGACTGATACAAGGGTTATTATAAAAGCAAATTGCCTTACATTGAAATTTTCAAAACATCTTTCCACAAAATAAACACTTCCTTTCAAACAAATATTTTCCAAAACAAACATTTTGTATACATTTTCAACGATACGAGAATCATTACAAAATTGTCGCACTTAGGCATTTTCAAAATATTTGCAAACACACACAAACACAAAATATTTTCAAAGTGAGCTGTAATTAAGAGCCCGTAGATAACTACAGATGAAAAAGGGTGCTAACACCTTCCCTTTTCATAACCTACCCTTGAACTCAAGAAAATTCTCAAAGGTCTTTCATGTTCTTTTCACCCTTTCCTTTATTGGATAAAAGAAAAGTCAGTGGCGACTCTTGCTATCCGCAACATTTGTGCAAAACCCTAAAGTCAGTTCTCCCACCGTATTACAGAACTGACGACTCTGTTGGGGATAACTGAAACTAAAAGTGGGGTTACCTTAAGAGCTAAATCACCTTTATTGCTTTACTTGTTTGCCTTGTCTGCTTTATATTCCGGGATATGCTTGGATTTATTTCTTGTATAAATCCTATACTCGGATCTGGGAGAATTTTAGGTAAGTAGCAATAGATCGTGGAAAATGTATGGCATAGACTGATATGGTTGAAACAATGGGTATGTTACTACGACACATTGGTTGGTATAAGTGTCCCTTGAGTAAGTCAAAGGGCTTTGATTTTGCTTATTCTTATCTAAATAACTTTCTTCACACTTCCTCTTCTCTTTACGTCAAACGCAAAGCTTTTCAGTCCATGGTTACTGGATTGTGTGTAATGGATAAGACTCATCAGGCCGAGAATCTCATTCACGCTTTTAAACAAACAGATGGTGGTCATACGATTCAACCTTCTGCTTTTGAATTCAAGTCTATTATTTATGGATACGGAAGATTGGGTCTGTTTCAGGATATGGTTAGAGTGGTTGATGACATGGAGATAAATGGGTTTCTTATGGATATTGTTTCTTATAGTATGGTTCTTTCAGCTTATGGGATTCATGGGGACCATGTGGAAATGGTTTCTTGGCTTAGACGAATGAGGAATTCTGTTGTTCCGCTCTCTATAAGAACTTTTAATTTTGTGTATAACTCTTGTCCCACGGTTATGAGGAAGGTTGTGGAGTTGAATGACTTGCCGTTGTCGATGGAAGAGTTGTTGTTGAATGAATGTTTGGTTGGAGGAGAAGCTATGCTGATTAAGGAGTTACTTTCATGTTATGCCATTTTTGAAGAGGTAATGGTGTGAGATTCTTCTCAGGTTAAATTAGATTTGCATGGATTTCACTTGGGTTCTGCTTATTTGGTTATGTTGCTTTGGTTTGAGGAGATGCAAAAGAGGTTGTTGAATGCTTCAAATTATGAGATTCCTGCTCAAATAAATGTGGTTTGTGGGGTTGGAAATCATAGCCGTGTGAGAGGAAAATCACTGGTTAAAGCCTTGGTTAAGAAGATGATGACGAAGATGAAACGTCCTCTAAGGATTAATAGAAAGAGAGATGGTTGCTTTGTGGCCAAAGGTAAAGCTGTTAAATTTTGGTTATGTGAATTCAGGAAGCCATGATTTTGCTAGTTGCTACTATATATGATGATGATGTTAAACATGAAATTAAATGATATGACCAAGATAGTTTCACTTTCACTCACATTTCATATGTCATTAGTATTTATTGACTTAAATAACTAAGGGAAGGCAATACATAGATACTACATATATTTGTTTGTCTCTCATAGGTAATTTCACTCATTTAAAATCAACACAATTGTGATGAAATTTGAGTATGTTATGTATTCAAATTAATTAATATTTATAGCACCAATTAGTGCCAATAGTTAGTATATTGAAGTACAACCCTCTTCTTTGATAACTCTTTCAAATAAGTCTACTTAGTCCCCTCGTTGCAAATCTCCCTATCCTACATTATTGTTGTAAACATGCATATGAGTATAGTTTCCAAATGGATAGTAACTAAACAAATAAAAAAATTGTATGTTATAGAATTAAACCAAATTGAACTAAACCGAACTATAAAAACAATATACATCAACTTGAACTGAACTTATAATGGTTCATTAAGAACCAAACTGAACTTATCTTTTAGTTTGGTGCACTAGATTCTATGTTTTTTGAATTGAACAAATTTTACAATGACAAAAATGAACTGTATATTTGAAGAACAGAATTGAACCTTTGTTCTAGTTCTTCTTTCATATATGATGCAATCATTTTCTATAATTCATGTTTGAACTTGGAAATATTGATGGAGTTAATTTTATGACATAAAAGACATGAAGTATTGACCGTTTGTAAATTTTCAACACAATGTGATTATTAAATTTAAATGTAAATTAACATTAACTAAGTGGAAATCAAATTTTGAGGTCACTGATTAAATAGTATGCCAACATCTTAGAAGGCATATATATAATAAATTCCACTTATTTATATACTAAAAAAATCCACTAAATCATACTTCTACACACATTTTTAAAAACCATATCAATCGAAAAGTAAACTAATAAAACAACAACAAAATTGATTAAGTTTAAGAACTTGTAAAACTTACTATTTTGGTACCCTCGTAGTAGGCATGTTTAGCCAGTTCTCTAGCATAACAAACATGTTTTTGAAGAGGTTAGACCTAAATTTAAAGATAAGTTTAGATAGATTATAGGTCAAATTTAAACTAATTTTTTAATTTTTTAATTTGATAGAAACTTAAATTTGACAAAACCTATCTCAACAGTCCTTCAATAATTTATCAAAGTTTTTTTAAATTTTTTATTTTAACCATATTGAACATAATATTGTGTTAAAAAGTTTTTGGAAAGTGATGTGCAAATTGTTAGTTTGCAAGATATCTACTTATTATATTAAAAATTAATTGCATTCACTCAAAAAATTACTCTTTCACTACAAATTATTTACATTAAAAAAAAGAATATTTAAGTAATAAAGTAATTATTTTTTTTATTCTCGTCTTCTATTACATGTTGTTAGTTGAAAATTTCAATAATAGAGTATAAAAGATCAAAAGTCGAAAACTAAGTTATTATTGAAAGGAATGTCTTGTAAAAGCTTCAACTAATTATTTCTAAGGGAACGGTCGAAGAAACCTTTATGTTGAAGAGTTCGAAGTATGTTTGAAGTTTGAATTCAAATATATATATATATATATATATATATATATATATATATATATATATATATATATATATATATATATATATATATATATATATATATATATATATATATATATATATATATATATATATATTATATTGAAGTTTTGGTGCTCTACGCAGATAGAAGAATTAAAAAATTCAAGTCTTTAATCTTATTCAGAAGACGCGTGGATGTCTGATAATTCGAAGAGCTTGCATGTTGCGAACGTGACATCTAGGTGTAGAAAGACCGTTAAGATCAAATTAGTATATATAAGAGTCTTAGTGATAAGATTCAGTGTGTTCATTCGTTTGTACAAAATCTCACATAAACTCAAAGTATATGTGTATTGAGAAAAGAGTCATTTGAGAAATGTATAAGTAAACACCATCTTTTATTTAATACAAGTTATTTTTACATAATTTACTTTTAGCAATTTACTTTAAATTGCCTTTATTGCACTTTGTTTACAAGTTTTCGTAAGTTTACTTTGAAGATTCACTTAGACCGAAACCAATATTGTTAAAGAAATATGAATATTGTCGAAGTATTCTTCGTTTTCAAGAAGAAAAGGTTGAATATTGGCTATTCTTTGCTAGTGAACTTGAGAAGTATTTAAACCTAATATTTTCATTACTGACTATTTCTCTTGCCTCTATCAGGTATCTAGCGACATGTTCGATAGTGGACTCAGTAATGTCTCCAAAAAATTTAGAAAATTTGGAGACTTTCCATCTAGGAAGTATATTCGTTTGTAAGATATACTCACTCAATGATAAAGTGTAACTTGGTCTATGAAGGCCAACATTCATACCATTTCGAGCCATAATCCTTTCGACCATGACTGTCAGATTATTGTTTACTGCCATATTATCTTGTCGAACGTGATATATGACTTCATCAATATTTTGATTTCTATTCACCATCATAAACCTAGATTCTGGTTCCCTTAGAATTTGTGGTTCCTGCCTAAGAGGTTAAGTTCTAGGTATTTCGACATTCGCAATTCTAGGTATTTCGACCGCCCCTCCCTAATTTACCATATTCGGCATGGGTGTATTTCTTTGATTCTGTTGAACCTGGTTAATCTTTGGGTCTTCTTCAAAGATTACCCTTTGATTTTCCCTAACTCATTCCCTCTGAGGACGTGGTGGGGGTTAAGGCACACCAAAGAATTCAGCAATGCACGTTATTTGCACTGCCATGTGTTGGTTCACTTGAGTGATGTTTTGAATCAAAAGGTTAAAAATTGTACCCATTGTCTGTGCAAGCATTTTGACCATTTCATGGTTACTTTCATCCATTTGCTGCCTAATCATTGTTGCAGAGTGATTTTTCAAGTTTGGCATTTGGGAGGAAACTACTTCTCCATGGGGTTGGATGATTTGACCCACATTATTTACAGCAGACCCATAACCTTGTAATGGTGAAGTGACATTCATTACAGGATCTGAATAAGTTAAAATGAAATTATGCAAACCTACCATAAACGATGATGGCATGCCATAAGGTCATTCGCGATCATTTAGAGGCATAGAAAAACCAGGAGACCCTTAAGGTCTATGGAAAGTATTTCCCCCTAGAGGGGGGGGGGGGGGGTCCCTTGTGGACCATGTGGTCCTATATAGGTCAAAATAGGGTCAGTGTGAGCGTTCAACTACGTCGGCGTCAAACTTGTTGAAGATAGTATAGCCTCTGAAAAAGGCACAAAAACCGTAGTTCCCCTTGTCAAAGTGACTGAGGTGGTACTTCATCATTGTTATGAGGAATTTGATTACCTGTATGACTTTGGTTGTCTCTTAGAATTACCAGCAAATTTGATCCATAGTTGGGCTTAATTGGAAAGGTTGTTCCATGAACAATTTTACATGGGACATGTGAAGATTAGTTTGAAAGAATTGGCAAGTGTTAAGTCCAAATTCACTGAGCCTATAGATGATTATCTGAACAAATTTCGTTTGCTCAAAGCTAGATGTTTCACTCGGGTGCCTGAGCACGAGTTAATTGAAATGGCCGCAAGGGGTTTAGATTATTCTGTCAGGAAGAAATTGGATACCCAACACTTGAGAGACATGGCCCAATTGGCTGATAGGGTTCGACAGATAGAACGCTTGAAAATTGAAAAAGCTAGAGCGAACAAGAATAATAGAAAATAAAGAATAACCTATATTGAATTCGACGAAGGCGATCATGGGTTGTATGAAGAGCCTTTAGGATTTGAAGAAGGAGAAATAGATATTGCTGAACTTAAGTAAGTACCCCCCTTATTATTGTAAAGGTTTAGCACCTTCAAATGGTAAAAATTCAGTCTAACCTGATAAGGGCAATAGATTCCCTAAAAGAATTATACTTTTGACGTCACTAAATGTGATGAATTTTTTTTATTAGTTAAAGATGGTCAAATGATAGTGCCTCCTGGTTCTAAAATACCCCCTTTAGAACAAAGAAAAAAGAGGGGTTTTTGCAAATATCATAATTTTTTGAGCCATCAAACATCTCAATATTTCCTTTTCATGGATCTCGTTCAAAATACAATTAAAGAGGGAAGGCTCAAATTCAGGGAGAAGTCGAAGCCCCAGATGAAGGTTGATGCTGACCCCCTTCATGTAGTTAAGGCCCAATATGCTGAACCAAATTTGATTAACATGGTGGCAGTTACTGAAGATTGTACCAGAGAGGTGGTCATGGCCAAAGCTGAAGGTTTCACAAAGGAAATCACTGAAGATTCCACCCAGACGTTAGCAACAACATAAAATACTGATGGTTTCATGCAAGTTGATAACATATCGAAGGCTACTGAAGGCCTTGTGGTCAAAACTACTGATGGTTTCATGAAGATTGATAACATGATTGAGGCTACTGAGGGCCTTGTGGTTAAGTTACGTGATATGGGCATCACTAAGGGTGCAAGTGTCGAAGTAAATATGATTGAAGCTTCACAAAAAAATGAGATGGAAGTGGACAAATAGGACATGAGACAGGAGGAATATAACCAAGTGGTGTATCCTAAGAAAGCTGAGGGTTTGCTGGAATTTCTCCATAGGTGCCAGAGAAAGAAGTCTAAGGTTATGCTATGTCCCATATGCAGTTCGATTTTCGACAAGAAAGCTGCTGAAAACATTGAAAGCCATAGAAGGATCAAGGAAATAAGGAATCAAAGAACTATCAACAACATGTTTACCTTTGATAAGAGGGGAATTCCAAGAAACCCGAACCAGAGATGACAGAGGTTCCGTATGAACAACCAATCTTCTTTCAAACCAACAGCTGAAGTCCCTAAAGGAAAATGAGCGAAGCCAGCTCACAGGTGGGATCAAGACCAGGCTAAGTGGACGAATTTTGAGGTTGGAAGAGGATCTTCGGTGGAATATCGAAAGAAATTTCAAGTTACTAGG